AACCCTAAACCCTGAACCGAACCCTGAAGCTCCCGACGCTGGGGCAGGAGCCAGGCCCTTCTGCCGCTTCGCGAGGCCGTAGCCAAAGGCAGCATGGAGAACGTAGGGGGTTGACGGTTTAGGGTTTAGGGTTTAGGGTTTAGAGTTTAGGGTTTAGGGTTTAGAGTTTTGGGTTTAGGGTTTAGGGTTTAGGGGGTCGACCTAATGTAGGGGCCTAAATAATTTCCCATACTATTTTGGGGGTTCCGTATTATCATGATAGTACAATGGGCACCAGAACCCTATTCTAATTATTAAGGCCTCTATACTAGAAGGTGTTGATAAGGTTTCCTTTGGCGGATACAGCAAGGGTTTCTGGAAGAGTTCCTGGAAGCGCTTAGAAGGGTTTCTATATGGGTTGAAGATTAGAGGTTTTGTTGAGGGTAACTGCAAGGGTCCTTTCAGAGCTGCTACCCGTATCTGTAGGTGCCTAAACGCCGAACCCTAAACTCACAGCCCTACTTGGAGGTTCATGGGTCGTTGTAAATAGGGTTACAAGTCGGGTAGCTATAATTAGAACACGTTTTAGGGGGACTTATAACCCCACTTAAAACTAACCATGAACCTCCAAGTAGACCCCAAACCCAAAACCCCGAGCTTTAAACTCCGAACCCGCAGGTCCTATCAAACCGATCGGCCCGAACTTCCCGCAGACCAGCGAGAAGGCAGGGCTTTCAGCGCAAGAGGTCCAGTTGTGCTTGTGTGACGGTTTAGGGTTTATGGTTTCGGGTTTAGCGTGTGTGTGTGTGTGGTGAACTCTGTTACCAAGAGTCAATCAATCGCTGCCGCTTGCTTTTCCAACAAGTATTCATAGTTTGCAGGGGTTTCCAGGGGATTGCAGAAGGAGTCGACGCACCTGCATATCGAATGGCAACCAGGCCAAGCCACAAACCTGGATCCCGGAAGTTGATTACTTGGAGTATGGTAATCAGCATGGCGTTGGGGCTAAGCCAAGAACCCCAATGAAGTATTTACTGCCAGTGTGGCTTAAGATCTTTACCTTTGGAGAGAAAGAGTTCAATTATCAAGTCAAATCAGCGAGAGGATTGCGCGAGTGTGTGTGGTGGGTTTGGGGTTCAGAGTCTGGGTTTTGGATTCAGGGGTATTACTGTTGCTGGAGATGGTCAGAGGTACCTTATTTGGGTAATTAACAAGTATAGCGACCCTATG